CCCTGTGCCTTCCCTGGCATCCATACTTGACATTTTGCCCCCACAAAAGGGCTATCTGTGTTCTAGCTGAGGCCCCTTCCCTCCAGGAGGGCACCGTCTTCTCAGGGCATCGTTCTAAAAGGTTTCCACACCAGGGCAGGCCACACGCACCCTCCACAGCTTTACAGTTGTGCTTTGAGGCTGCCTGTGGGCTTCGGTGAAGCAGGGGTCTCAGGGGGGGGGGGGGGGGGGGCGGGCCCCCGGGCCGGCCTAACAGACTCATTAGGGCAGAGGAGAGCGACTCTCCTCACTGGGAGGAGACCTGTCAGCGCGCTGCACTTGGTGCTCACACACACAGCATGACTGGATGGTTGTGTGCCCGTGCGCACATCCACCCACACCCTCGGGCACAGCCACGCGCTGCTCAAGCCTGTTGTCTTTTACCTTATCTCACCCTCCCTGCCATCCAGTTCTGTCCCTTCCTCTACCCCCTCAGAAACATCTCCAGGCCTCTGCTCCCTGGGCCCTGAACCTTGTCCGAATAGGGTTCTTACTCCACCCAACCTTGGTGAAGGACACTGTGACCTATGTGTGGCAATGTTCCTGTCCCAGCTGCCTGGCACCCCTGCTGACCACACCTTCCTACTGAGGTCGCTTAAGCTTTAGGACCCCTACATCTTTTTTGGCTTCTGATGGCCTTTTCCCTTTGCTGGAAGTACTAAGTTCCTGCTTTGGACTTCTTCGCTTCTCTGTGCTGTCCCAGCTTTGTGTGGGTAGGCATGCACCTGTGTACATGTGCGCACACACGTGTGTGTATGCCACAGCTTGAGTGGAGGTCAGCGGACAACCCAAGGGAGTGAGTTCTCGCCCTCCATCATGCCCTGGGGTCCCAGGGATTGAACTCAGGACATCAGACTTGGCAGCAGGGCTGAGCCATCTCCCTGGTTCTTGAGTACAGTCTTTGTACTCATGGCCCCAGCTGTCCACCAGGCAGGCCTTCTCCCCGGCTTCCTGTTGCTATGGCTCTGCCTCTTCCAGCTCCTACCCTGGTTGCTCTCCAGCTTCCAGGAGCTCAGCCTGACGCTTTGGGCCTCTCCCCTCACACACCCAGACAAGTGGAATCCATGCAGTATGTGGCCCCGAGGCTGCCATCCCCCAATGACTTCAGTGGCTATGCCTTCTATGTCCCCTGCAGTTTGTCCTCAGCAGCTGGAGAGCCCTGAGAGAACAGGGCTTCTCTGCTGAGAGCCCTCCCGCTTAGTCTCCTAGAGTCCTGATCTAGCTCTTGCCTGCACTTTGTAGTCTCTTCTCCACTCCCCTCACTCTGTCCTCTCGGAGCACCTGTGGGAGTCCACCTGCCCACAGCAGCTTTTACCCTGGCAGGGGACAAGCTCTCCATGAGGAGGTAAGTGTGCCTTGGGCCAGGTCTCCGAAAACACACAGCAGGGTCAAAGGTCAAAGTCTATGCCCACTTAGCAAGACTTTCTCCTTCATCTCCAATCCCACCCCAACTTTGGGGTCTCCTCCGTCTCTCTGGGAGTCATGTTGTGCCCCTGTCCTAGCTGCCCTTCACTTCCCATACCCTCTAAAGAGGAAGTTACCCCTTCATGACTGTCTACTTTGTCACCTGGGTAGCCCTGAAGGGCAGCAATGACATGTCAGGATAGGGGTTATAGTTGGTTTTGGCACCATCTGGCTGTGGTGGGTGTGGGCAAGGATGTTCACAGCACTGGCATCCTTCATGCCAGGGCACGCGGCATAGTTTACCCAGAAAGCCTGTCCCTCAGAGCAGTGGGCAGGCCTGGAGGATGGGAGGTGTCAGTTGTCACAGCCTGCTCTGTCAAGAAGATCACTGAAGATGTCAAGTTCGATGGTGCAGGGTTCCACTTCTTACAGCTCGGGATAGGGAGCAGGGAGCCAGACAGGAGGATGAGGAGAGCAGGGAGGGAGACTCAACGGTGGGACTTGTGTCAAGTGGCCTCTCCAGAAAAAGCATCCACCACTGCCCAGGGCCAAGGCCTCCTGACCCTACCACTTCTTGACACAGTGGCACTGGGGACTTGGTTTCCAACACCTGAGCCCAAGGGACATGTTCAAGCCATGGCAGTGACCTTGGGGAAAAGGCAAGCTGCAGAGGGTAGGGACTGTTTAGTGCCATAATGGAGAAAGTTACAAAGTCACCTGCTACCAAAGAGCCACATGACAGGACAGCTGTCAGCTTTCAGATCTATCAGCCTATTGTCTCTCTCTTCCCCATGGTCTCACTATATGTCTCAGGATGGCCTTGAACTAATGGCAATCCACCTACCCCAGCCGGCTGAATGCTGGCTGTTTGTCACCATTGTCCGGCCTGCTGTTTCTTACCCCAGTTCACTGGCTCTCAGGGAGCCGGTATTATTTTTGTGTTATGCCTGAACTAACAAGCAAAATAACTTTCTCCAACTCCTCCTGTCCCTCAGACTGCAGTACACATCCATGCTCCTGCCTCAGCAGCTAAGGTCCACTGCACTAGCTGTGACCCACTGACCACTGGGCCACACCTCCTACTCTCTAGTTTAGGTTCCTCCTGAACGCCCCTCTGGAAGCGCCTTCAGCAAACCATCTGGACTTTTTGGCTAAATCCCTGTGCATATGGTGCTCCTGAGTGGTTGAGAGGAGGGACCAGACTAAACTTAGAGTCCTCCGGGAACCCCAGCTGGCAGAGGAAGTCAGAGGACAACACGGAGGAGTCCCTGAAGCCAAGTACCTCTGTGGTCTTGTAACCTGTGCCCTTTCACCCTCATTACACAACTGCTGTAGAAAGAGCTATGTCTCACCTTAAGCTCTGTTAAAGTAGAACTGGGTAAGGGGCCATGTGACAGCCCTGCGCAGGAGGGTGGAGGAGCAGCTGGGGGCTTCCAAAAGCCATTCACTTTGCCACATTCCCCATCAGATTAAGACATTCAGAAGAAAAAAGCTAGAAAAAAAAAATCAGAGAAGACTTGCTGGAAGCTGACACCTAAGAAAGGCAGAGCTTGGACCCCTAGCCTAGTGTTCTCTGGCCCTCTGACTCCAGGCTATAACTGGCAGTTGCCATGGATCTCCTAGGAGTTGGTTTAGTCCTGAAGGTGACGCTGTCTTGAGGTGGTAGAGGGGTCTTGGTTGGCAGACTGGTGTAAACGTGTTCTGTCGTCTGGGTTACAAAAGTGCCTGTCCAGCAGGCTGTCTGTGGTCTCTCTGAACTTCAGAGCCTGTCTGCCTCTTGGGATTGCTTATCTGACCTTCTAGGGTACAGGGCTATAGGATGCCCCCAAAAGTGTGCACGTGTGTGTGAAAGTGTGGGTACACCTGTGGTTCTGGGCAGATGTCTGCTTGGGTCTTCTCAGAGGAGCCTGGTGAGACAGACTTCAGCCTGGTTAAGTCCCTCAGCCCCGGCCTTGGTGGGGCCAACCTGTCAGGGAGGCACAGAGGAGCCAAGATGGGGCTGCTAAGGCATTCTGGGAAAAGATGATTGGAGAGCCTATGAATGGACTTCTTCACCAGGGAGGTCCTGCCTCGGATAATGTGGCGGTGAGGGAGAGCCAAGGCCTGGTGTAACTATTTATTTTATTTTACTTATACTTTTATTTTTTTTTTCGAGACAGGGTGTCTCTGTGGCTTTGGAGGCTGTCCTGGAACTAGCTCTTGTAGACCAGGCTGGTCTCGAACTCACCTGGTGTAACAGTATGAATTAGTGCTTTTGGAATGGACTTTGGGCTCCTAAACGGCCCCAAAGTCAAGACCTCAGGCTCCAGGGTCCTTTGTGGCCTGCCCAGGTCCTCCTGAGTGAAAAGCCAGCTTCCCTCAAAGGCCCGGGATGGGACTCTTGCTCCCGCTGAAGAGCAAAGACAGCC